GTTTCTTCGGAAAGAATTTTTACGGAAAATGAACAAACGAACAGAGACGTAACAATATGCTAAACATGAATAAGTAATCATCCATATGAATGCGTCATATATTTTGTCAATATTTCACAAATATTCTTAGTAGAAAAAAACACTGCTCAAAATTCCTAATAAAAGTATAATCGAAATTTACAGGATTTTAGCTATGGTATGACAAGGCAAACTATTTTCAGTTCGTTTTCTTCATGTCAGAACTGAAATGAAAACGGTTGGTCAGTAAGCCTATGCTTGTAAATGAACTTTTGGTATAGGAGGTCTTACATTTTTTTGCAAGTATTGATATTTCGCTTCATTATAGAGTAAGATCACGACGAACAGCAAGCTCAGCTTACCCCTGAAGTTACATACTTAAAAACAATGTTGATAAGATCCTTGTGTAGCATCGAAAACTTCTCTGAAAGAATACTACAGTCGTAAACAGTTTTCGTCTTTCTATCTAAGAAAAGATATTGACTTATTGGAAAGATTTCAGAGGAGGGCTACAAAGATGATTCTTTGGATAAAAGGGTTATCTCGTGGAGAAGGGTTTTTTCTTTACAAGAGATGGTTAACAGATGATACTATTGAAGTTTACAATTATCTAGGGTATTGACGGTATAAAACACTTAACTCTGAATACTAGAAGAATAAAGGACGCAAGTTGAAATTTTTGGACAGTTTTATTTTTTATATATGTGTGGTTAGCTTATAGATGCAAGAAGCGGGATCGTTAAATAGCATTTCAGCCATGGGAGTGTTATAATGTTATGGTCAATCCCACTGTTTGTTAATAAAGAGTAACCCAACAGTTAACTGTAGATGATGTGGACCACCTGCCTTCCCTCTAGTCTTATCGCTTCAGAATTAGGGACGGCTAGTGCATATAGTCTTCGAGTAACTTTACACAAAATTCAACAAACAAACTAACAAAACCTATCGAAATGAGTTACCTTCAGTCATCCAACTTCTTACTTCTTAGTTCTTACTTTTTCTTTCGTGGGAGGAAGTATGCAAGGATAGCATTGAAAGATCAAATGTTCCTTTGTTATTTGTAGAAGAATGTCTAACAATAGTGTATATATTATGTTACATATAATATAATGAAAAGGTGCAGTTTTAAAAATTATATAAGTCTCAAATACAAACGTTGAGGTTGTAATATGCGTTACAGAGTTCACTGAATTGTTCTTGAAGTACTTTATAGCTTTACGGTAGTAATACAATTGTTTTGTGTTACATGATAATTTAACCACATCCCGTTAAAGTATTATTTATGATGTCAGAAAAACACGTAGGTTCAAGAAGACTTGATACAAAATGATAAAAATCCTATAACCCAAGCGCTTTCGAAAGGTGGTCTTTTATTCTTCAGTTTGCCCCTGAAGAAGAAAGGTCTACCTTTCAAAAGCGTTCGGGTTATAGGGTTTTATCGTTCCATTAAAGTATTATTAATTGCGCAAACAGAATGTTAAAAAATATATAGATGGAATAAGTATTTCAGTTCTCATTTGGGTTAGAAATAGCACATAAAGATTTAATTTTTAAAAGTTCTGACAGGCATTTGAACACAAATTATACGTTATATATAAAAAACACACATCAAGATAAAGAAACAACTAAAGTGAGATAAATCCGTTGTTGAACGCTACCTAATAAAATCATTGCATTTCAAACTGGGGTTATTTGAAAACATGGGAAATTTATATACCTTGTTTGTATTATGCCCATACCTAAAACAATTATTTCATTTTTTACAGTTTGTAAATCCAGAATATTACGATTTAATAGCGTGTTTTAATATTTATTTTATAAGATAAGGTGTCTGTTGCCTATTGCTTTTTTAAACACAATAAATATTTTTTATGAATTTCTCATTCACATTTCAAGAAAGTGATTGTTCCTAATTATAAGTTTACCTTATCAATAATTGACTATTTTCAGCATTCTTACGCAAAATTTCAAGACAGAGGTTAATAATTATGTTTAATTATTACATTCCGTTAGAGGGCGATAATATACAATGGAGTTATGCTTACAGTGTTGAAGAATGTAACCTATAATTTTTTTAAATTTTCCTTTCTTTAGAATAATTTTAACTGTAAAATGTTATGTACGTCTTGATCCTCTTGGAGGAGAAGGTAAACAAAAGAACCTGCACCGCTACAGACATTAGTAACCAAAGAATAACAGCAAGGTAAAATTTTATAAGCAGCTAACTAAGTGAATTAGCCTGCTAATAATTATATTATTAAATTTAAATTTTAAGTTTGAGTGCCGCTGATTCATAAGAACTAAGATTACCTTGCCTCTGCTTTTTACTTATGTAACAAAGAATTGACGTTAAGCCTAATCAACTCGAAAGGTCGCGATAACTAATTTCTTTTTTACTTTTAGCGTTTGGAAATGTACGTATCTAACTCTTACTCTTAACTTCTTTTCGGGATTTCCCTAAGATTATATTTCTAACGCAATAACACTAAACAAATCCCTAGAAACTTTAATAATTGCACTTAGTTTTCCCAACAATAGGAAGAGGAGGAGAATCACAAACGCTTATACTGTTACAGCGGAAATGCAAAAGTGAAACCTTAAAATATAAATATACTTACATAGTAAGTGAATGCCTAATCCTAGTTAGATGAACGCTTGGAATTTATCATTCAACAATGTTGTTTACTCTGTCTCACTTAAAATTTGACACGCCCTCTTTATTTGTAAGTTATAATGTTATGTTGTATTAGTTACACAAATTGTAAAATTTATAGCAAAGGAAATAATTGTAAAAAATGTGTGGTGCTAAAATGTGGTGAAATAAAAAATTTTAAAAGAATAACAGGGATTTAAATTAAATATTAAAATATTTATTATTATTATTAGTATGTAGTAATCTGCCAGTATTGTGTGAGGGCATGATATATATCTTCATTCAGAGCAAGTAGAATTTGTAAATTTCATGTATAATTTATTAGGCCTTTAATAGTGAGATAATAAGATTCATTTGTTAAATTAGGTATTGGATGATATTTCTGATGACTTAATGGGACATTTTATTTAAAGTATTTTCAACTTTAAGGTGGCTAACCTACATGCAGCCTTAATAAACATTAATGGGCATCAAAAGTCTTCAGTTGAAAATATAGCATGCTTAATACAAGTTTCTCCTCCCCATAAAAGTTAGTATGACTGTTTCTAGTCATTTGAGAAGTGTTTCCTACCACTAGATGAAGTTTGAATTTTCTTAAAATATCAAAATTACATAAATTAAGAACATTTTGGACCATCAAGAATGTCCTGATTTCCAATTTCCATCAACAAACAGAAAATAATGATCCAATCCAGCCTTAATCCTTCAAATATTCATTAACCAATTTCTTAGTTAAACTCCTGTAAAGTTACAGCCTTTACATTTTAGATAGCAACTTATTGTACAAATGTATCACCCTGTTGGAGAAATAAAACTGTCTCAAATGGGGATGTGTTTGATCTTTCCAAGTCTCAAACTTATGACCACTTGCCCTACTGGTTTCAGAATTCAACACACACACAAAAAAAATGTGACCCATCAATCAATAGTTTTGAATAATTTTATTAGATCACCTCTGAGAGAGAAGAAATTAAGAGGTCTTAACTTATCTCCACAATCATCCTTATAGCACTCATGAAAACTAAGTATAAGTTAAAGGCTCAAAAATCTCCCATCATCCAAAGACACAGTACCAGTTCTCAAATTCTACTTACTTTTAATATATCGTGCTAAAGTATACTCTATTAATTCTAACATGCCAACTGTTCTCCATAATCCCTTTTCGATATCCTAATTTCCTTTTTAATTAATTCTCTTTCTCTTCTGTAATCCTCTTGACCTTCAATCCGAATTATCAGTTTCAATTTTCTAAATGCTTATCTCTAATTTTATTCCCTATGTCTTTCAAACCAATTAGGTTTGTTCCTAACAGTTTCTTTTTGTCTTATTTTCCCTTGACAGAGCATGCTTACCCTGAATTAGAAACAACTTCTTTTTGAAAATTTTATACATTTAATTCAGCTAGTAAAGCTGCCAAGGCTAACCCCTATCTTTGTATTGCAAAATTGGTTTTCTGAAAATTTTAGAATTAAAATTGTAATGTTCTTATTTCAAAATGCAACAAAACATCAGACCTAATTATTCTGTGAACACTCCCAAATGCTCCCCCACCTCAAAAGCAACATTGTTTTTGAATTCTGTTTTTAGTACTCCCGGGTCTTCCAGCAAATATAAAAAAAACTTAAAACATGTTTTTCAGAAGCTGACCTTTAAAACATGTATAAAGTTTATATTTACATAAGTAGAATTTTTGTTTTTATTTAAAATGTTAAGTTTAGGTTTTAGTTGTAGCCATAATACAATGTAAGAGAGGTTATCCTAAATTATTAGGCAGAAAGTGGGAAACAACTACTGTATGTTTAAAATATGTACCCATATTTGATTCTTTAAGAGATCTCATCAAAAGTAACCTATATTTCAGGTAATTTCACCTGTAATTTGTTAAATTTATTCTTTATTTCAAAGGCTTGTAGCAGCAGACAGTTTATCTGTACTTCATATACATTTAAAACATCTTTTAAACTTTTGCTTTTATTCTCTTGATTCTATTTTCCATCTTTGTCTGAAAATTAAATTATGTTATTTGTCCAAACCAATATAATAATTTACTCCAAACACTTGTGATTAATGTATATTATTCATGTACTCATTTATCCATTATACTTATATACAAGTGTGTGGCTAATCAGAAATACTATAGTTAATTTTGTTATGCTGTGTATTTTTTCTGCCAGTGAGATGACTAAATCACTAAAAAACTGTTGAAATGAAAAGAGGTAGTCTATTGGGGTAACGTGTAAATCCCATATTTGCATGCATTACTTATTATGGTATTTAGACAAAAGTAAATTTAGGCTATTGAAATTCATTGTTTTAATTTGGTTATTTTATGTATTAAGCTGTAATTTCCTGTAACAAAAATATATCGCATGCTTGTTCATTGCATCGAATAATTATAGACACTTTCCAGGGTTGTGAACAGCCATTTTTATTCAACCCAGGTTTGTTTTTATTTTCTCAGCTTTTTTTTGTTTTGTTATTTTATTTGTGAATTATTACATAATGCAACTTACTTACAGGGTATCACTTGGTCTTTTAAGGCTATCTCTGTGCACCCATCCCCAAGAAAACAAAATATCATGTAGATGTATCTCTGAAATACTTAAAGCATTTCCTTGTTCAGTTTGCTCTCATTCTGTCAACAACCATATGACTGTAGGTTCTTATTAATGCAATGCTGAGCATGAGTCAACTTACCCAGAGTTCTCTACTCCTTATGCATGCATCAGGAGAATATATAAGATATACTTTTATATCATAAGTCAGATTTTGTTGTGAACATTTGTGCTTCTTACTTCACTCATTATGAATTCTCATGTCAATGTTAACTACTGTTAATAATGTTCCTACCAAAAGTGAAAGTTCTATGTCTGGTAGTCTGCCTCTCATGTGTAGAAAGATCCCATTGTTACATTAACTACTGTTAATAATGTTCCTACCAAAAGTGAAAGTTCTATGTCTGGTAGTCTGCCTCTCATGTGTAGAAAGATCCCATTGTTACATTAACTACTGTTAATAATGTTCCTACCAAAAGTGAAAGTTCTGTGTCTGGTAGTCTGCATCTCATGTATAGAAAGATCCCATTGTTACATTGTTGGCCCTTATTGATAAATATATTCATTGATTCTTAATTGTCTGTTGGAGTCCTTGATAGGTTTTGCATTCATCTGGTTGCTTCAATGTAGAACAGTCACTCTGTTATTTTTTTATAGTAACAATTATCCTTTGCTCAGGCCTTTTATCCGTCATTGTTTGAGAAGTAGAACTTAAAGGTAGCCACAATTCCATTGAAGTTTCTGCTGGTCTGATTTGTTTTCTTCACAGGTACGTTCTCTTTTAAATCTTGAACTAACATTTCTTATACCTAAGGGTACTAATGTCGTGCTTGACATGATGATGAGAAAACCTTCTTGAAACATTGTACATTTGCTGTTATGTTAAACATATATTAAAGTTTTTCTTTAATACCCATTCAAGCCATCTCCAAGCATTATATCATCATTATGTTTCAAATTAAAGCTTTCCATTCAGCTAATTTTAATTTAGGTTTCATTAAATTACCTTGAAAATGAGATAAAATGTTTTGTAGCTACAGTTTTAGACTCTCTGTCCTTTGTATGCTATTATCAAGGTGAGGTGGAAGACTGTGACTTGTGTCCTAGAGGGTTATGAAGGTGAGATGTTATCATTAAGTGTTGTTCACTTTTGGGTTTCCATTGTAAGAAGGAACCATAAATTTAGAGAGATTTCTATGATCAGAAGATTTATATTGCATATGATTTAGTAAAAAACCCATTTTTTTCATTGAGTCTATTGTCTAAGTATTCTATTTATTTTTCATTAATGGTATTAACTGTTTGGAATACCCATATTTTGACACTATTTTCAGTGATGCTCTTGCAGTGACTTATGTAATACTTTTTTTTTTCCAGAATAGAGTCAATCATATCTGAAAGTCACTATTATCTTTTAACTTATGTAAATTGTAATTTATTTTTTCCAGAATAGAGTCAATCATATCTGAAAGTCACTATTACCTTTTAACTTATGTAAATTGTATTTTTTTTTCCAGAATAGAGTACATCATGTCTGAAAGTCACTATTACTTTTTAATTTATATAAATATTTTTTCTCCTTAGAAGATAAATTAGGTTTCATTATGTAATCCTAAAATTTCCTTACAATGCTTGACACTTTTATAGAAATTTCTGTTATGCTTTGTTCTTTCACTGCTGTTGTCTTAGGATGATCAAAAGGATTGGTTCAAAAGTGGGTTAACCAAGGGTTGATGTCCTTCTATTTATTCTGACAAATCTGTGCTGCTTCCTCTCCAATTTTTAAAGAATGTTTTTCTCCTTTTCTTAATTTATGGAAAATTTGCTGTAAAAGTGATAAAATGTCTAATTCTGTATTATCATATAATCTAGTTGGAGTCCTCTATTGAGTAACAATTTGGTTGCATCATCAAAGTTAATGCCATCTTCTTTGGTTTTATTCCTTCCTTTGAGAATTACTTTTGTCGACTGTCAACTAAGGTTTAAAATTTATCT